AAAACTCTACTAGGACTCTAAAAAGACCAAAAAGACTCAATAAGAAGGACTTATACCATGGTTAAAAACCATAAAAACCATGATATATCAGTGCTCCATCCTGTAAGAACTCAAATAAAGGTCAAATGAGCCTCCAGGAGGACCGAAAGGGGATTTCCCTCCTGAGGTTCTCCGACGCCCAAGTCAATGAACATCTTACCAGAAACAAGTACTCAGGAGGGGTGTTTTCTACGGGTTAGTGTGAGAAGTCTCGTCCGGGGATCAAGGTTTCTATCTGCTTTCGGGTGCTTTAAAGGGGTTCCTAGACGATAAAAGGAAAGCGAAGCGAGTATGAAGGCGGGGTTCCGGGTTAGGAATGACTTAACCTAGTCGACATTCACCCGGGAAGAACATGAAGTTCACCCGTGATCGTGCTGTTTGTCTGGATCGGCTGACTTAGACGAGTTGATACCATCTCTTTTAGAGGGGATTCTTTCTCCTCATCCATCCATCTGTCCTTCTCCCCTTTGCATCCCTTCCTCGTTGTGATCTCTCCTTACTTATACTCGCGGGCTCTTTGCCATGTCCCTTCCATGCGGCGCGTTATGGGAGCAGGTGAGGATTATGATTCTGGCATGTTTGGGAAAGTTCGCCAACTGCCCTGGAACAGAACGCGGGAGTGGGTTGATCGCGCTTACGTTGTGTGTGTCAATGTCTAGCGCAGTCTAGGTCCACTGTCGGGTTCTCTTTTGACCGAAGTGTCGGAAAGTTCGCATTTCTGCAGATTTACTCCATTTCCGACGCAAACCCTAGAACTCTCTCTTTTCGAACTATCTCTCTTTTCTGCCACACATCCCTCTTCTCGTTCAATTGATATGTCGGCTTCAAGTTCGTCGTCTGGCGAGTGGCATGCTCGCTATTCCTGGGCCGACGGTGAAGTCCAGGATATCACCGGAATCCCCTCAGAACTTGTCCCCACTGACTTTTCATGGGCTGGGGGCGAGGTCGAGGAAATCGCTGGGGCGCCCTCGGCTTCAACCCCTACCGACCGCCCTCCTTCTTCCTGCACGTCGGACTCGCTGGAAAGGGTCCTTTCAACGAACCTTCCCTATTCCTCTGGGCTCAACGCCACCTAACCCGGCGAATGGGATCAGGCCGACCAACCTCCACAACGCTGCATCGCGATCCACGACGACTACATCTTGTATGGCTTCCGGGGCAGTCTCCCTCGGATGTTGGTCGACTTCTGCCGGTTCGTCAGCATCTGCCATAGCCAACTCCACCCTTCCGCATAGGGGCTCCTCTGCGCCTACCATGTCCTCTCTGCTTTGTATGGAGTCCGCGTCTGTGGCTCCACAGTGCTGCTGTCTAATCAGCTCCGGAACCTGACCGTCGACTCTCTCCGCTACACCTTGCGCACCAGCGACGGATGCACTGCCTCCATCCAGGCCGACCATGACTGGCGGGAGCAATACATCTTCTGGACAGTGCTGCCGGAGGTCAACGTCCAACTCACCTAGCTGCCCAGAGGTACGACTCTTCAGCTGCTGCTGTCTTTTTCTGTAGAGTTTAGTACGCTGATACTATCCTCTCATTGCTTTCTCGTTTTACCAGGTTTCGCGACGCCGGTGGCCTCTGAACGGATCAATCTGCACCGGATGCTCGGGATACCCAAACGGTTCTGGTCGTTCAACTTCCTGCTTTATCCGGCGAGCATCGGGGCGAGTTCGCTCGTCCTTCCATCCGGCATGTCCCCAGACACTCCAGGTATTGACCCTGACTCTTCTGCTTCTGATCCTGTGCTGGTTCCATGATGCTTACATGTGGTCTGTGTCTTGGCAGGTTCTCAGAATCGGATTGAGGAGATCTGTGACCTCTACGCCCCCGACGGTCGCTTGCCCCTGGTGCAGTTTTTACGGGTCGCCCGGAGGACACCTGTCCAAACGCCGCGCCGACTCTCCCGAAGTGGAAGCTTCATCCCAGCCTTCGCGCTGACGGCGCCTCACCGGGTCTCCCATGGTGAGGGCGACATGGTCCCCAGGCCCTTCTTATGCCCTCCCCGCTCGCTCTCCTTCGGAGTCGGCCTCAACTGCCAGCAGCGGGGATCCGAGAGACTCCGGCGCTCCGGAGTACTTAGGGACTGCCGAGAGGTCCAGGGTTGCACGAGCCACCACTCCGGTCCTTGCTGCACCGCACTCGCCGAAAGTGATGAATGTCTCTTCGGAGTTGGAGCCGATGTCCGTGCCTCCTCGTCCGATCGCTCGCTCAACCCGCGAGCTCACCGGTTAACGGTTGACCGCCTCGGAGCTCACTCAATCACTAGATGCGGTAAGCTGTTATCTCGGGAAGATTTCCTTTGCTTTTTCAGTTTTTTACCTTTGGCTTACTGGTTTCTTCGTTTTCTGACAGAGCCAGCGCTCGCTTGAGAAGTTTGAGCACGAGCTCCACACGGCCGAACATTGTGAGCGCGGCCTTGCCGACAGGGCTAGCGAGCTCCAGGCCGAACTCCTGATCACCCGGGACCAGCTTGCCGAAGCAGAAATTTCTGCTCCGAGGGAAGATCTCAGCTCAGAGATGGGACGCCTGCCCTTGGCGCTGATGGAAAGCCAGCGGGACCTGGAAGCCCGTAACTCAGAAGTGCAAACGCTCCGCCAAACCCTCATGGTGTACCGAGGGTTCGCTCCGGGGGCCGAGGTGGATTTGGCGTTGATGGTGGTTGAGGCTTTCCCGACGAGCTAAACCACGATCAGCATGCTCAGGCGAGAGCTCGAGGAAGCACGACGACGCGGCAGGCCACGGGGCCAGATGCTTCGGGAGCGGCTGGAGGCACTAGAGGCGGAAGGTCATCTTCACCGGCGGGATCCACGCGCCCACCGGGTTTTTAAATTATCTCTTTGTTTCGGGGACTCGTTCCCCATGTAAATTTCATCTTCGAACCTGAATCGGTGGCCGCTTTGGCCTGTTTGCTTCTTTTTTTTTAAAAAAAAAAAGCTTTTCACTTTGTTTTGCATATCTTCGTCTCTTGCACGTTCCTTTCATGTTTTACTTTGCTTTGCGGATCTGATGTCTCGGTTTCGGGGCCAATACGCGTAATGGTTCCGAAGCTTTGAGATGGTTGAGCTGAACTCTAGCCTGCTCGACCAGCATACTTTTGCGCAGACTTCGAGTGCTTTGCTTCCCTCGCGGAACATCCGCTGGTGATCCCCCCTCCTTCTAGCACCAACTATTCGGGAGCAAATTTTGGGATGTCACTTGGGGGTGTGTAATTCATCAAGGGGTTGGAGCTGTGCCTCCGAGTTTCGTCCTCTGGGGGGAAAGGCAACAAGTCGGTCTGGGGCTGAAGCTTCTGGTCCCGGGGCGACGGGATGAATGTTGTGCTCCATCATGTAAGCACTCAAATAAAGGTCAGATGAGCCTCAGGGAGGACTGAAAGAGGGTTTTCCTCCTGAACGCTCTCCGACGCCCAAGTCAATGAATATCCTACCAGGAACAAGTACCCGGGAGGGGAGTTTTCTATGGGTTAGTGTGAGAAGTCTTGTCCGGGGATCGAGGTTTCTATCTGCTTTCGGGTGCTTTAAAGCGAAGCTAGTATGAAGGCGGAGTTTCAGGTTATGAATGACTTAACCTGCTCGGTATTCACCTGGGAAAAACATGATGTTCACCTGTGATCGTACTGTTTGCCTGGATCAGCTGACTTAGACGAGTAGATACCACCTCTTTTAGAGGGGATTCTTTCTCCTCATTCGTCCACCCGTCCTTCTCCCCCTTGCCTCCCTTCCTCGTGGTAATTTCTCCTTACTTATACTCGTGGGCTCTTCGCCTTGTCCCTTTCAAGCGGCGCGTCAGGGGAGCAGGTGAAGATAATGATTCTGGCGTGTTTGGGGAAGTTCACCAAGTGCTCCGGAACAGCGGGAGTGAGTCCGCCGAGCTAGCGTGGCATGTGTTAGTGTCTAGTGCAGTCTAGGTCCACGTGTCAGGTTCTCTTTGACCTGGTAAAATGGGTTCCAACAACTATCTTATTTTTTGTTTTAATTCGAAATTAATCAAAAAGGATATAGAAAATGCCAAAATAATAAAAAAATAATATTTTTAGGTTCTAAATTATTTTTTGCCCAAGAGACCTAAAATATGTTAGGTTATGGCTGTATTTCAATATCCATTTTGTCTTTTTTTCTGTGATTGGACCTCCTCAATTACTATTCATATACCCAGAAAATTAAATTCATATATCCTGATCGATTTTTTCCCGTTACAGAGAAGAAAAATGGGAAAAATGAAAAGGAACAAAGAAAAAAAACAGAGAAGAAAATCAATAAAAATAAAAAAGAGGAAGAAGGGAGAAAAATAACGTAGAAGAAAAGTATAAAAGAAAAATAGAGAAAAATAAGAAGTAGATGAAGAAGATCAAACACATTTTTATTATATAATTTTTTTTGACTAAAAAACATGAGTACGATTAACAAAAAATATATAATTAACTATTCAAACTTTAAACTCTAATAGTTAAAATCCAAAAATATTATTTCAAATATAAATTTTAATCTTATAAATATTTACTCCGCGCAAATATAAACACATGCTTAATATGTAAGAGTATTGTTTGATATACAGAGTTGTATTAAACATGTGTTTACGTAAGAGTGAATATATTTTTTCATATACATATTTTATAACATCTTAGCATTATGTATAGATTAACTATTTTGGCTCAAATATTGTAGAACTATAAAATCATATTTTAAAATTATATTTACAAACCAACATTTTCTAAAATTAATTTTTTTTTAAAGAAAAAGATAACCTGCGCGGAAAATTAATTTATTTTTTTTAAAAAAGATTACCTTAGATCCTAGTATACTATTACAGTAAGAATTAGCACAGCATTATAGTTTTGTGTATAAATCTGCCTTTAGTACTGTTGATGCACGAAAAAAATCGAAATTCCTTCAGTTGGAGGATTTTGCCAAGCCCTACCTGTATTCCCATAAGACATTTTGGGCTATCCAAGACCATCATGGCAGTTGTACGAATCTACATAATTATATGCCATTACATAATCGATAGAGTTTGATACAAAGCATTATGATATCTTACTAATCAACTCTCTTTTTGTCAAATCATTGTGAAAGAAGACGAATTCTTTGAGTTTCCAAATTTATGTTTTTTTATAGCTTTTCGGGTTAAAAAAAACCAAAATGACGCAAGTGTGTTTCAGATTTGCTGGAAACAGAGAATTGTAGACTGAACATAACAGAAAAGAGCAAAACAGAAGAAGCATATCCTCCTATTGTTGATTCGCTTTCTTGACAATCATTTAATCCGCCTATTTCATTGCTGTAGCTTCTCCAGCTCTGACATCCTCTCAATAATTGCCTGCAAACAAAGAGATGATTGCGACTTTTTCAGTTTAGTGTCACCAATAAGCGAGAAAACCAGGTTTTATGTGCGTACCCGCTTGCTTGTTTCTTGAAGTTCTCCAGCAAGAATGAATTCATCGAGTATTAAGTATACCTTAGATAGAAACAACCATTGTGAGTTAGTAACCATTTAAATAAACAAAGAACGGATATAGAAACTTCGAAGCAACACATGTATACACCAGTCTATTCGCCTGAAGAGTGACACAAGCTTGATACGATAAGGCCAAAGAAGAATCACCACTAACCAAAAATGAGCAAAGAAGGATAATGCTAAAGAAAAATCATCAGTAACCAAAAACGAACAAAGAGCGCATATAGAAGCAACAAATTTATCCATCAGTCTTTAGCTTTAAAGAGACACATAAGCTTTGATATGATTAAGCCAAACAAGAATCATCATTTAAGGAAGATTTTGCTTTGCTAATCATAGGTGAAGATGAAACACTTACACAATCATTCTCTCTGATTATCTAACCTCTCAAACAAAGAATCAGTAGAATAAAGCAGTTTGATGTTTTGGTACCTTGTGGAAATTAAAGACCAAATCAAGCTCACAGACATTGCTGAAGAAATGGTCCAGAATCTCGACGAACAAGTGGATGCATTCAAGGTAAGCCAACTCATTATCTGTTATGTCAACGCACAACGAGAAAAACAACCCGGCATAGCGCCTGTATATAACCTTATGCGTTCTAAACTGCAAAACGATTAAACAAAAAAATCACTTATACATGACAAATGGTGACAAATATTAGACATTAAAACCATTGTAATGCATAACACATAAGCAGCTTCATTGCTTAGTGTTGATCTTATACAAATATATCTCAAGGCCTAGTTGATTTTAATTCAACAACTACATCTCAAAATCTCTTAACAACAATAGTGAAACCCGATTCTAAGCTAAATATTAAACAAGAATCCACTTACTTATACATGAAAATGGCGCCATATCTGTAATCATAATTCAAACTCTATTCAGCTTGATTGCTTGCTTACATATCTCAAAGCTTACTTAATTGGTTTCGACAATTATCTCAGCAAAATCTTTAACGCAAAGCTAGATTCCCAAACCAAATAACACAGAATCTAAATATAATCAGCTTCATTGCTTAGTGTAGATCTTATATAAATATATCTCAACTTGATATTAATTTAACACCTACATCTCCAAATCTCTTAACAACAATATTAGAGCCTGATACTTAGCTAATGATTAAATAAAAATTCACTTACTTATACATGCGTAAATTAGAGAACTAAACCATATATAAGAATGACTAAAGTTTAGTCACTAAACGAAACTTACTTCTTCATAAAAATGGTGCGTTAAGTAGAGAACTAGACCATATAAGCATGATTAAACGAAAATTCACCTACTTATACATGTAAATGGTGCGTAAAATAGAGAACTAGACCATATCTAAGCATGATTCAAAAGTCTAATCAGTTTGATTGCTTGGTTTTGAACTTACTTAAACACATCTCAAAGCCTACTTGATTGTTTTCAACATAAATCTCTTAAAAGAATCTTAACATATCTCAGAGACAAATATCTGAACAAATATCTAATCAGCTTCATTGCTTGGTTTGAATCTCATATAAACACATCTCAAAGACAAATATCTGAACAAAAAATCACCTATGCATGACAAATGGTGACAAAATTAGATAATTAGACCAGTGTAATGGCATATAAGCAGCTTCATTGCTTAGTATTGATCTTATATAAATATATCTTAAGGCCTACTTGATATTTTTTTCAACAACTAAACATCTCCAAAATCTTTAACAACAATATAGAAGCTCTAAGCGAAGGATTAGACAAAAATCCACTTTCTCATACATGAAAAATACTCAAATGGTGCCAAAATGAGAGAACTAGACCAGTGTGATGCATATCTATAAACATGACTAGAAACTCCAATTATCTTCATTGCGTGGTGTTGATCTCATATAAACATATGTTAACACCTACTCGATTGTCTTCAACAACTATCTTTGCAAAAATCTCTAACAAGAATCTTAACGCTTGATTCCAAAACCATATATAACACAGAAATTTAACGCTAACCTCGTTAAGAAAGATCACAAGCCTCTAATCAGCATATCTATAAGCATGATTCAAAACTCAAATTAGCTTTATTACATATCTCAAAGCCTACTTGGTTGTTTCCGCAACTATATCTTCAAAATCTCTAACAAGAATCTTAAAGCTCGATTACCACAAACCAAAAAACACAGAACATTTTACTTGTGTCTCGTTAAGCAAAAAAACTCACGAACCTCAACGAAATTGGTGAACTTTGAGTCGCGATTCACCACCAATCTATGAACCTGAGAGAAATTTAAGAATCAGAAAGACAAAAGATGAAGAAGCGACAAGCTAGACTAGAAAGGAGGAAATGAATTACCTCGTATTCGACTTTGTGTTTCTCAGACTCTTCGAGAGGAACATAGTACTTGGCAAGACGAGTCTTACCTTGCCTGTTCTGCAATAATATGAATCGGATCTGGAAAAGAGGACAAAGGTTTGGAGAGAAATTCGATCGAAATGAGATTTCAAACATCAAAATTCAAGGAAAAAGTGGAAACGATTCAACAAAGTATTACCATTATTCTCGGAATCAGAAGACAAGAAACACAGAACAAAAGTTTTTCTTAGACGTCAAAAGATCTTTTTAGGTTTTGCGCGTTCGCCAAATTAAAATTAAAACAATCTTCCTCTACGACAATTTTTTTTTTCTTTGTTTAATTTTTCACCAATGATAATGATATTTCATTAAGGCTTATACAACCCACTTGCTAATTCTAATTGCATCAAAATAATAAATTATTAATTATAAAATTTTAAATAACAGATATTACTTTTTTAATATTGATATAATATTTTATTAAAGAAAATTAGTCATTTTTTATATTATACTAGGTGATAACTCGCATAAACATGCAGATTTATATTTTAATATGTATTTTTGAAAATATAATTAATATAATATTTTAAATGACTTATATATTTGTTTGGTTATAAGTTTTTTTTAATTTTTTAGTTGTATTTTTTATGTAAATCGAATATGTTGTTTTTAAAAAACTATCAATAATTAAGTTTATAAAAAACTTGAAATTTTTAACTTCAAAAAAATGCAGCTAATATATTTATTTTAAAAGAAAAATAGAATTACTGTATTAAATATAATATTTTTTATTATAGTTTTATGATCATGTACTTTAATTTTTTTATTTGGAATATGTGATTTTTGTGAATAGATCTTTTTGTTCTTTAACAAACTCCATCTTTTTTTTTTCTTCTTATGTTGTTGATTGAGTGTTTATGATAGGTTTTTATAATATAGTAATATTAACGATGTATTTTGTTATATGCTTACTATTGAATATGGAATTATTAAAAAATATTTGTACACCACATAAAGTATCAAATTTCATATATTTTTTTTAATTTATTGATTTTCTATTTAATAAAATTTTAACAGAAAGTAGTAATATCAATGTCTTTTAACTGAAAGCATATGCGTAAGTTTGGTATTAATTGATGTGTTTATATTTTTAAAGGGTGATGTGAAATGCAACTTTCCAACTTTCGATTTTGGACATTTATGATATTCTAGTTTAATGTACACTTTGTTTTGTTAATCCACTTTAATTTTATGCAATTAAGTCAACTGTAAAAAAATTAAAAATGCATTGCAAAGCTTATAGTCAGAGCTTTTTCTCACTTGACATCAAAAGATTTTGATTAAAAACTCATAACTGGAAAAACCAAGCAAATCTCTTATAAACCTAGTCTGAAAAGTCACAAAAGAATCGTTCTCTACTTGAAAACACCCAAAACATCAAAGATTCATTTTAAACTACATTCCAGTTTTGTTGAATAAGATAACCAGCAACATGAGTAGACGATGACCTTAGCAGCATTTGCAATCCTTGGCCAGAGATCCGCACACTCTTTCTCGATCAGTCCAGTAATCGCAGAACTAAAAACCACACAACAACACCCCAAACATCTCAGCAAAGATCTTATCTAGAAAATAAAAATTCAAGTGATCGGAACATGTATTTGAAAAATGACAACTTAAATGTGTCTTGTACCGTTCATTTCTCCCTTACGGTTCACAATCACTCCCGCATTATCTACAACTGAAAAATCAACCAAGTATGAATCTTTTTAGCATACACACACACATATATATATATGAGCCATAAACTTAATGCTTAACCCAAGAAACTGTGAATTTACCTTCAGCATACATGAAAACACCGTCTTTTCGTGCCATGGCTTACACTGCCTAATCATCACAGCAGGAAGAACCTTTTTTCTGAGATCCGGTTTACCTTTCTTGACCGTGGCCATAACCATGTCAACAACACAAGCAGAAGGTAACCGATTGAGACGATCTTTGATTCCTTTGACCGAAATGACGTAAAGGTTCTTAGCTCCTGTGTTGTCTACATAGTTCATTCTGGCTGCCACGAGAAGACCAAGTGACAACCTGAATATTTTACCAGACGTACCTCCACGCCCTAATCAAATAAAAACAAAACCGAACCACCATTAGAGCAAAGCTCAAAAACATTAAATGAAGATCAGTGTCTTTAGAATCAAATACTTATGTTAATGAGCTGTGTTGATGAGCTAATCAGATCTCATGAGTATATCAACATAATCGTTTTCGTATATAATTATGCCCTAAACACATGGTTACAGCCAATTGCTCTTATTTTCATTCTACTGATAAAACAATTGAATTTCTACTAGCAGTTCTAAGTGAAGAAATCGAGATATATCTTCTTCAAGAAATTACATGTTATTTAATAAATCATAAGATGAAGAACAGATGTCATCGCATAGCACAACAGAGAAACCAACTCCTTAGAGCAACGATTTAGATTAAGCTTTTTAGTTTTTACCTTCTCTTTCGCCCACCCAAAAGCAAAGTTGTATATCTCATGGAACTTTTCTGAACAAGATAAAATCCACAAGAAGGACATTGCACATATGTCAGCCAACATGGGAGTTTCCATCAATCAAATAGTAAATAAGACAAACAATGGCCACTTAGTTTTCTTCTTACGTTCATCTTTAAGCTCAGAACGCATAAATGACAGCTTTTCCTGCAACTTCGCAATGGAATCTACACTGCCATCAAAAAATTTGGTCTCGAAGTTAAGCTCCGAATCAAAAAGGTCCTAGAACAGGCCAGAACGTAAGAGAAATTAAATAGCAGCAATGATTAGAGTTCACAAACCTTATTGACTGTAATCCACCAACAAATTCTTCCTTGGGAAATTCACACGCTGTGGCAGCATTCATATGCCACAAAAGAACAACCTGAAATTGGAGCAAGTACGCTTTTTATTAAATGTCCACAAGTAGAACAAGAAAACTAAGAGCAACCAATTAGAAAACCAATGAGTTTAAGACCCCATATTTAATATGTTTCTCCGGAATCTCCATCCATGGACACATCATATTCTCATCCACCTCAATTCTTGTCACTCTTAACCTTTCAAGTCAGTCTCTCATAGTGTACTTAATTCATACTGGGTGGTTTTATGGTAGCACATGACGAAAGGAAAAAACACATGCACACAAACAAATTGTACGAAAATGTTTTAAAATTACCGTGACAATGTCTTGGGGTTCCACCTGGAAAATAGAAAAATTCAAGTCGGTTGTTATTAATGCTCTGTAAAGATAAACCACATCAATCCTGGCATTATTCAAAAAGATAAAATACCTGAAGATCATTACACAGAACCGAGATACCATCCGCTAGAATCATATCAGAATATGGGTCTGCAGAATCAAATATGACATTTTTAAAAGTGAAAGGTAGACAAATGAGATATTAAACGTGGCCTTGATCAAGACAAGAGCAACAAAGTAGCTTGGCTTTATATCTATTGTAGAGCTCCTCCAAGCGTCTCATATCAGCATGATAAACAAGATTTTTTTTGCAACAAGCATTATCAAAGCTCAAGCAACCTATAGTTGTAGTATAGTATGCAAGAGGTATCAATCCAACCTAGGATGCAGGAAGAACACTAAGAATGCAAGAGTGAAGTAAATCTAAGCAGATCGGGAAAATGATTGGTAAAATCGGTGAAAACTAAATGCAATGACCAAATGAAATGCAAAACTATTTTAAAATTCCTGGAAGAAGGTTAAGTACTACTAGGAGAAAGCAGAAGATTAAAAATGCAAATCTATTAAAAACTAAAAATCGAGAGCTAAATCTGGTAAAACAGATTGATCTAACAACTTAAAGCAAATAACTTATAATGAACAAAGATGCAAACTTTATGACAAGAGAATGATAAACAGAAGTTTTAAGATGCTAAAAGAGGGTTCAGGGTCGAGGGTCATATTCAAGAGTGTTGAAAGGTTCAAGCTTTGGTTTGAAAACACATAGATCTACTCATTTGATGAGCTTTTCCTAAGCCTTGAAAACAAAACAAGAACCATCCATGGCGTGTGGTATGATTCACTTTCTCAATCTCTTCTCCAAACCCATGGCGTTTGGTGGAAAAAGAGATCAAAGAGCAAGAAAAACAGATTCCAACTAATAGCCTAACTAACCTCCTCTACATCCATGGTGTTTGGGAGAGGGTCGATTAGTCTCTAGGACTTGGTTTTCAAGGATTTCTGAATCCTGTCAAGGTAAAAAAGCCCTGGAATCATAGAGATCTTTTCCAAGACTCTCTAAGCCTTAAGACCCCAAGATCCTAGAAGAGAAGGAATGAAGAACAAGAAAAACACAAAACTTAAACCTCCTAAACCCTTGAATCGCCTCAACCCCTTTACCCAAAGAAAAACTACTTGCTACTCATGATTGAAACCGAATGAAACGCGATGAAAGATAAACTAAGCATGATTAAAGAGCGATTAAAGAAAAACTGCTTAATATTAAAAAGATTCAAGTTCGAAACATGAAAAGCTCAAGAACAATGACCATGGCGGATAATCGCCTACAGAAAAGTTTAGAAAGATAATGATGAAGGAAAGTGTTGGATAATGAAAGTGACAGCCTCCTTTTGCCCAAAATAGCTAAACCGCCGAATGGTCCCCTCACTACGCTCCAAAAACGGTTAAAGCCCCAGAGATTGACCTTTAGATCGATCAGCTGACTCGATCTTCTTCATGGATCACCATCTTCTGCTCGATCTTCAAGTCGATCTGGTTGGATGGATCGAGCACTTCCTTCGATCTTTGGATGATCGAGTCATGGTTTCGATCTGGCTCTCGTTCTGCATGGCGTCATTCACGTCCATACTCCAGATCGATCTCCTCTCTCGATCTTGGTCTCGATCCTTCCTCTTGAATCGACTTGGGTCACTCGATCTTCTGGTCGATCTCGTCTAGATCGACCTGCCTTGCTCGATCTGCTATTCGATCTCGGGTCCTTTGCATGCATGGCTGAGTTCTCCAAATGTCCACAAGCTTCTAGCTGATCCTCCTCACGTCCACATAACCTCCACAACTCCAGAGTGCTCCAAACAACCTGATAATGATGCAAAAGTGCAAGAAATATGCAAAATGCGAATGCAAAGGGACATAAGACCTAAAATGCAACAAATGGAACAAACTAGCCTATAATGTAAGATGAATGCATGAAAAGCTATCCTAAATGCATGCAAAATATGCAAAATATATTGTAATATCAACTCCCCCAAACTTGCCTCTTGCTTGCCCTCAAGCAAACAAAATTCAAGAAAGGAAGAGAGGTTTGAAAACGGGAGTTCAAAACAAAAGATGTCAATGGAGAAACTGATTCAATGCCCAAGTTATAAGTTCTAAGATGCAAAGAGGTTGTTCTACTTTAAAAGATTTAGCCATACTCATCAAAGCAAACAAATGAACTCTAGCTTAGCCTACACAAGCATTCAAATCAACCAACTCCTTAACATTCATTAAACGGTAACCAATGGATCTAGTTTGTGCATATCAAGAGAAAGCATTTGGTCAAGGGACATGGTCATGAGATGAAAATGATCTCATTCGAATAAGGGTTTAAAAATTCAGGGGATCACTCAATGAAAGAATCCTATCTTTGGCAAAATGCTAAAGGTAAAAGCACACTTATGCATGCAAGTTAAAGCTCCCTTCTACCTTTTTTACCCAAGATGATCCTAAAAACTTCTGAAAACCCAAGTGTAACCCCTAAATCTACCCTTTCCCAAACCGCTTGATCTCTTCATATTTCACAATTGGGGGAAACCCTTTCTTCTTCAGTCCGTGTGGTTGACTTCTTTTTATTTGAACTTGCTCTCCTTTGTTGTATGCTCGGCGCCTTTTTCATCACCTTTGGTGGATGGTTCGGTCTGATTTTCTTCTTTTTGAATGACCTGCTGTTGCCAAAAATGGCTAAACCGCAAATGGTCCCCCCTTTGCTAGCTGCCATAACCAGTTGGACGGATAATGTTAGTCTGGGATCTACTCGGATCATTCGATCTCCGGCTCAATCTTCTCTTGGATCGGATGACTTCGCTCGATCTTTGAGTCGATCCTATGATGATCGGGTCGGGAACTCGATCTGGCCCTCGATCTGCATGGCATGGCCCACGTCTGTACTCTCGATCGACCTCCTCACTCGATCGCATGCTCGATCTTCCTCTTGAATCGACTGGGGGTCACTCAATTTTCTGGTCGATCTCGTCTAGATCAACCTGCCTTGCCCGATCCGCAACTCAATCTCAGGTCCTTTCCTGAATGGTTGAGTTCTCCAAGTGTCCACAAGCTTCCTCACGAGACTTAGCATGTCCATGAATCCTCCACAGCTCCAAAGTGTCCAAAAATAACCTGAATATGATGCATAATGCAAGAAACATGCGAATGCTAATGCAAAAGTGCTCTAGGACCTAAAATGGTGCAAACTAGCCTATAATGCAAGATGAATTCATAAAAAACTATCCTAAATGCATGCAAAATATATAGTAATATCAACTCCCCCAAACTTGCCTTTTGCTTGCCCTCAAGCAAACAAATTTCAAGAAAGGAAGAGAGGTTTGAAAGTGGAAGCTCAAAACGAAAGATGTCAATGGAGAAATCGATTCAACGCCCAAGTTATAAGTTCTAAGATGCAAAGAGATTGTTCTACTAAACTTTAGCCATACCCATCAAAGCAAGCAATGAACCCTAGCTTAGTCTACACAAGCATTCAAATCAACCAACTCCTTAAGATTCATTAAGCGTTAACCAATGGATCAAGTTGTGCACATCAAGCGAAAGCATTTCGTCAAAGGGATAAGGTCACAAGATGAAAATGATCTCGTTTTAAGAAGGGTTTTAAAAATCAGGGGATCACTCAATGAATGAATCCTATCTTTGACAAAATGCTAAAAGTAAAGGCACACCTATGCATGCAAGTTAAAGCTCCCTTCTACCCATTTTACCCAAGGTGATCCTAAAAACTTCTAAAACCCAAGATTAACCCCTAAATCTACCTTTTCCCAAAGCGCTTGATCATCTTCACTCTTCACAATAGGGGAAACTTCTCTTGGCTTTGCCGTGTGGTTGACTTCTTCTTTTTAGACCTTGCTCTTCATTGTTGATTGTTTGGCGCCACCTTCATCACCTTTGGTGGATAGCTTGGTCAGATTTTTCCTTTCGGTTGACCTCTTCTTAGCTTTGTTGCTGCTGGCGCCTTTCTTTTCTTTAACACTTCGAGCATTTTATCTATTTTACTTAACCACATTTAACTCGTTCCCCCTTTGTTACTAACCCCACTTCTTTCTTCTTTTTGAAAACATATAAACATGAAACTCTTAAACAACTCAAATGACCCTTTCCCCAAACTCATAACCTAATACCAAGCTCAAAATGCAAGCTGGTGTCTATAAGGGAGATTCTCCTTGCCAGCCCTATTCCTAACACTTTTTGCTAAGATAGGATTGAAAATAATGCAATGAAAGGCCTCACTACTCACGCAAAAGTGTTTAGGTTCGAAAGAAGGTTAGGTTTAAGGCGTGGTTAACTGTCTCATTATAATGAGGATCAGCTACTTGGATTAACAAGAGTGGTAAGAAAGGAAGAAAATAATCCAAGTATGTATACGGGTAAGCCATGCAATAGCTTTCAATGCACAAACAAGATAATTCAATATCAAGATTAAGGTTCTAATAAGATGGAGTTGGCATCAAATCAATCGAGTTTCTACATAAGACTAGAGTGTCAAATGCGAGTAATCAAGGTATGGTGCAGCCTTAACTTCAAACTCACTAGATGCAATCAAACAACAAACAACTTAGGCATTGAAAACAATTCAAACATTGACAACTTAACAAGTGTTTATCATTTACTCCCTATGCAAATGCAGCAACCTAAATGATTTCAAAAATTCTAGACTCAATCCTAAAATATTCTACAATGTAAGTGCAACTACATGAATTTTTTTTGAAAATTTTAAAAACTTTTAACAATTTTTTTTGTTCTTTTCTATGCCTTAGGATGTATGCAAGACTCAAAGGATGATAACAGAAAATAAGAAGAAAGAAAACATGTTAAACACACCACACACTCCCCCAAACTTCGATGACACCGTCTCGGTGGCAATCAAAGTCTAGAGAAGCTCAAAACAGAAAGCAAAAACTTAAAACATGCGTGGTATATACAAGGGATGGTTGTTGGTACCTTGGAGCTAATCTCGACTGGAACTTGAGGATGTTCCAGTGGAGCTGCTCTTGCTAGAGGAGCGTCGTGCTATGCCCTTGCCTTTGTCCGTGGTTGGGAGTTCATGGATGGAGTGACGTGCTTGTTGTGTGCTGCCTTGAGGCTCACGGATGACTATCGCACCAGTA